ACACACACACACACACACACACACACACACACACACACACACACACACACAATAAAGAGAAAAAGGGACGACGATATAATATGTTTGATTGGAAAGAAGGAGAAAATCACACCAGAACACCCATGACCCCCTCGATTTCTTTTTGCTACCGTATCTCAAAATTATTATACTTCTCCCCAAGCGTCATCAAAGCAGTTATATACCCCCGCGGAGCGTTTCATATGAAGGTTCTTTATTTTGTTCCATTGTCTATCCTGTCATTTAGCCTACTAATTATGTTTAAATTTGTTTAAAAAGCGCCGAAAGAAACATGATTTTGTTTACTATTTAGATTTTTGAAAATTTCCTATGCTGCTACTGGACAATAGAGCCACGCCATGTAATATGAGTTAAGCCCAAGGAGATTAAAAGTAAACTTAGTTCTAAACTCCTTGGTTAGGCCTCACATTGCATAGGCCTATACACATTTTAGGTGTCATCATCAATTTAACCGGGGTGGTTTAAAAGTTTGCACCTTAAGGTCGGTGCAAAATTTATTTAACTAGACGTGCCGAAGTTAGAGGTGTTTTGTGGCATAATGATAGCCTATTATATTATCCATTAAAGTACATAATAATAAGAAAAAGTAGGAAAAAATAATTTTAAGATGCAATTTTTAGGCAAATTATTATAAAGCACTTTTTAAGCCTTAACAAAACCTTCAACCTTAAAACTTTTGGTAATACGGTTACTACGGAAACAAACTGCGAAAACGAAAATATCTGTAATAATAACAGATAAACTCATATCATAATATAATATGATATATGCCTATATAATAGGACATGTATTATAAAAAAATATATGTTATTTAGCTTAGGAAACCTCGAACGCTAGCGCCAAAAGTGCATTCATATTTTCACAGAAAATTTGGCAAAGTCACCATGCTGTGCAAAGTCACCTTTTAGCACCTGTACGTAACTGTGTAAAGACATGCTCAGAGGTCCCGCTTATGCACCATAAAGGCCCTCTACTAAAGGCTACTTGCTCTCGGCTAGCCTATCGTAAGCTATAGGGGCCTACGATTCGTAATCGTTCACCTTTGCCCTCTCCACATTGACCTGACATGTACCACACAATGCAATGTGGCAAGCTCAAGGATAACCTAGGGGAGTTAATGGAGTCCCCATTTATTACTACTAGGGGCGCTGCAGCTTGCCTTGACCCAGTTGTCTGACGTCACTAGTAAATAAACCTGGCCAAATATCAACAAATCATCGTGTGAGGAGGAGCGCGCACAGTTGTTGGTTTCCGACTTGAATTGAGTGAATTCTGAAACAGTACTTCGCTTTCCAGTTGTTAAGGGGAGTTTGAAAGTTAATTTTCAGCGTGTCTGACACGATGGCTTCAACGCAGAGGCCAGAACATTCAGAAGATCTTATTGGTGAGTATGTTAACTCTATCATTCTCATTCGCAGGAATGCCACTAGACTACGACACGACTGCTACTGTACTGCAAGACAGCTTGGCTCAGGTCCCGCCTTTGCCTTTGTTAGTTCGCATTCTTCCTAAAGTTTTACTCTAGATCTCGGGCTAGATTAGTTTTGAAAATTAGATCTAGATCTAGATCTAGATCTAGTGTTTGGAACATAATAGTCAAAGAAGTCTACTTCTTCAACATATTTGAGATGTTTGATTTTATAACAACAGACTGCAACATTTTATCTTGAAGTTAGATTCTTGTACCATCCTAGTCTTTTGTCCTAGTTTTATGGTAGATTTTCTAGAATAAAAAAAGAAGTAAGGCCAAAGCCAAAGGGGTGTTCAACTTCAGGATTCCAATTCTTTTTTTGTTTGTTCCAAAGGTAAGATTGAAGAATACCGGACCAACGGATTAGGACTACTTTTGCCTATGATGTCTCGACAACCTGCCATAGGAATTCATGATTTTCCCCAGTTTTTAATCTCTCTCAATGAAGAATCTAGACAGGTATCCTAGATCTATTCATTATCAGTTTGTCACCCCCCTGAACACCCCTCCCCCTCCCCCTAATCCCTTCCTCCGCCCCCCCACCCCATTCTCGCGCAAAAAAAACAAGTGGTCCGGTATTCTTCAATCTTCCCGTTCCCCCCCCCCCCCCCCCCCAAACTCCTTTGCCTCCTCCTCTGGGCGCCTGACTCTTTCTGCAGCCTTTGTACTGTTTCTCCTCAGCTCCTTCTTACTGCTGTCTTTCAGCCACACCCCTGGTCTTCTGGTAGGAAAGGTCTACACCTAGCCTTCTCGGACAAGGGGGAAAAATCTCAGAGGGCCTGTGTGCAAGCTGCGCCCGTTTTAAAGATCCCTAGGGGGCTCTCGTGGCCTAGTGGTTAAGGTGTTGGCATCTCTTTCAAAGGTCCTGGGTTCGAATCCGGGTAGCGTAGCGATGGAAGCATTTTCTTCTCTAAAATTGTTTCCTTTCACCTCCTCTTGCAATGTTCTGTCGTTTTCTTTCGTCTCCTCTTTCTGCCCCCACCCCCTCACCTACTTTGCCCCCTCCTCTTGGCTCCTCCTGACTCTTTCTGCAGCCTTTTTACTGCTACTCCTTGGCTCCTTCTTACTGCTGACTTTAAGCCAAACCCCTGATCTTCTGGTAAAAGAGGTCTACACATAGTCTTCTCGGACAAGAGCGACAAGAGCGAAAAATCTTGGAGGGCCAGTGTGCAAGTTGCGCACGTTAAAGATCCCTTGGTGGTCCATAATCTATAAGAGTAGGATTCGGCTGCCACCCTGGCAAAATTCAAAATTTCCTACCAACTGAAAATGTTTAATGTGTCCTGCGCGCTCATATGGCCTTAAATGCAGTTGCTAGCACTGTTAAAGACAAATAAGAGTAAAAAAATTAACACTCAATTCTGTTAACACTTGTTGAGGCCTAATGACACATTCCATCCATTCTGGCTCATTCAAGATACAACAATCCTCTCAAATACATGTCACTTGTAATCTGACGAAAGAACATGTACACTACAAAAAGACTGTGGCTGCTGATCACACTTATTGTAGAAAGAAAATTGTAATAATAATAATAATAATAATAGATAGCATTTGTATAGCGCATATCCCCGCTCAACAGCAGGCTCTATGCGCTTTACACTATATTATTACCCCAGCAGACCATAGAACACTCCGAAACATTCTCAGCTTCCCGGGAAGCATACAGTGCGAGCAGCCGATTAAGCGCTCAAACACTAACAAACTGACAAGATCTTTCGCTGTCTATAGCCGGGTACCCATTCCCACCTGGGTGAAGTGAGGAAAATTCGTGTAAAGTGCCTTTCCCAAGGACACAACGTCGGGCCCTTGACGGGATTCGAACCCACGACCTTACGGTTGCGAGTCCGAGAGCCTAACCACTAGGCCACCGACGCCACCATTGTAGAAAGAAGACTCAAACCTGTCTGTAAAATAAGATTTAAAAATGTATTTTTTAAGACTAAAAGTAGTAGAAGACCAGTTTAAAAAATGCGCTGAAAGGAGGTGCCTTTCTTAAATGCAGTTGGAGGGAATTTCACACTGTGGGAGCAGCTGATTTGCACACTATTTTCAAATTACTCTGAGGTTGAAAAGGAGGAAGAAGAGTCTACAGTATTTTTCTCTGCCTTTGCATAATATTATGAAAACTGAGAACCAACTTGTGGAATTTTAGGCCCTAAAAACCTAGTTTTCAGTACATTCGTATGAAAAATTTAGTAAATCTGGATTTGTTTTTGTTGCTGTTATTATCGATCCAGCAACAGCTGGGCTCTCGCCTTTCTGTCCAATGCCATGCAGTGATAAATGCAGGGAAAATATCTGCATTGACAATAGCATCTCTTATATATAAAAAATGTACAGTAGTAGCTTAGATTGATATTTTTCATTGTGTTGTACCATCTTAAAGCACTGTAAGTGGTCATCTTAGGCATCTGTTATAATGACTCATGAATGTTTCATCATTTGGTTCAAGGCACATATTTTTCATAAAATTACATTATGAATTACTTGAAATCAACTTTTGCTTTGTCTTCTTAAAATCTTCAATCAATGGTCTCTGTTTTCTATCTACCTGATACTGTTGCAGGTTTTGATTACTGTTTATACCATCTGTCATTTTCACAATTTCCCCTTACAGACTGTCATAATATTCTATTCCTATACTCAGATATAGTGAAGAAGTACGGTATGAAAATAAACACAATATGGCTGAATGTTTGTCATAGTCTTGTGCTCGTCTGACATAGATCAAATATCAAGAATTCATAACATCATAACAGAGACTCAATAGTAACTAGTCCAATTCCATTTCAGCCTGGAGTCAAAAAAAAAAAAAATTGCCGTTGAAAGAAGAGATCATGGTCAAATTTTGACTCTTGGAATGAAATTAAAATTTACAAAAATACCCCCCCCAAAAAAAAATAAAAAAATTACTGGAGATTAATCCACCTTCACAAGAATTGGTGTACAAGAAGGCTTTTAATTAAAATGGATTTTAAAACCACCATGTTTACAATGGTCTGGATTATGTTCGAAACCTGTAATACGTTTTCTGGATGTTGCACGCAACATGTTCATTCATGGTTTATAAGATAAGTGCCTTTGTCTGTGTGATTCATTATTAGGCCCTGATTGTTTGCTTCTTTTCTACATGAGATGGGGAAGTTGGTGTTCTCTGGGACATGCATGTTAGGAACTGTGTGACCTACCTGTATCAACAATAGGCCTGCTTATGGATAGTGCTGGGAGATTGAAAGTGGAAGTGATTAATAGAATCAATGAGATATAAACAAAAAGAGAGTGCAGAGAAAAAAGGAGAGATGAACAAAGGAAGGGTTGGGTTTGCTCAAGATACCCCATCAGACTTTTTTAAAAGTGGGAGTGGGCTCTGTTGATAGGCTCTCCCCCTCC